TCATACGCCACGAGCCATTTTTCTGGGCTCTGGCCATCGTCATAAGTTTTCCGAACACGACGTTTCGGAAGCCGGTCCTGTTTCTGTCGACAGCCATGATCTCTGCTTTGCGGATGAGAGTCATTTAGTCTTTGCTGGCTTAAGCGCATTTGACGCAACGAAGATCGCTTAACCAAACTGATTGTCGCTCATCTCTTCGACATATTTTTACAAGAGCCCGCCGTTGGATCTATTTCCATGTCTACCAAGTTGTCTGTCTCTTCCTTTCAGGTTTTACTCCTTATTCATATCTGCGCTGTCCTCACCCCCTCCCCGGTGCTTCATCCACCCACCCGGTCTACATGGTCTGCCCATCTCTTCCAGCCCCAGTGATCCTCCCAGCTGCAAAAGAGACCTTTCGCGTAGAAATCTCGTTTCGGAACAGGCGCTGATTTGTTCTGGGGGTCCAGAGTTGCTGCGACCAGACTGTACTGCGTCTGATCGTTGTGGCTCGGGCCCCATAAACTGCAGTTTACTAACTTCATTATGCCGACCCGCTGGCCGGCCATTCGCTGTGAATTCCTTTCTCAGCAATCACGACTGTCTTGCTGCCAGGCCAGCGCCCTAATTCGTTTTAAAACGGTCGGTTCCCGGACATCCTCTCCCGAGATGCACTCGGAGGTCACTTTACGATGATGCTGGGGCTAGTATTTTCAACGAGTCCCGGCGTTTACCTGGAGAGCCATAAAACACGTCTTGTCACAACGACCATACGACTCAAATGGGAGCTGAACGCGTAACCCAAACGGCTGTGCTAGACTGCTCGGGTCTCGTTGGGCTGTTACGACTGATCGATTCAGTCAATTCGTACACCGACGACAATTCGATTCCTCCATTAATCGATCAACACGACCGCATCTGTTACTAACCTCCTACGAGATTTATTTAACTTTTACTGATGATTCCGTGTTTTGTTGTATTTTCTCTAATCTTTGTCCCTCGTTTATGTGGGAGCTGTGATAAGCGTCTTTCTTCCATCAAAAGTTTTAAGCGACCAATTTATTTATAGGTATAGGCTGGACAACAAGTTTGTTCAAGTATTCTCGCTAACTACATTCCTTCAAATGCTCGAGTCAACATGGTTGTAAATTAATGAACTACAGTACTGGACTCGATACAAGTACAGATTTCTCGTAAGGTTACGTTAAATTTACCAGATATAACGTAAAAATTAAACACCCTCGCCAGTGTCTGTCCTCCCTTACAACGTGTAATAAAAGACTGAGGAACGCAGACTAAGCCAAGCAGCTAACTTGTCTCTTTCATCTTAGAAATTACAGCCGATTGAACGAGCAAATAACCTGTTCGCCAAAACACTTCATCTGTGTATTCCTGCTCTTAGCAGACTTAATGTGTCTGGGTGTCGAAAAAAGCAGGCACTTTGTTGACTAGGAGAAGTTATAAAAGCAGATGATCATTAACCCTTAAAAAATTGGCAGTGAATTATAAAGTTAGCTGACAATACGCCTCTTCTCGGACGAAAGTATTAATCTTTCTTCGAGTTCTGACTTCGTGGTCTTAGACGTTCTGGACAGGTTTACTGGGATTTTTGTTATCGTCTGCATAAACAAATCTTGCTTTCAGACATACGACGTAGATTTGTCATTGTCAACTTCATTACCTTTGTAGACGGGATTGCCTCTGGGTCTCAATGTCGTCATTGATGCCAGTAGAGGAGCGATCAGTTATGAACTTCACGTCAATGTCGTCATTGATGCCAGTAGAGGCGTGATCAGTTATGAACTTCACTTCTTCCCACGTGTAGGACAATTTGCAATCTGTCTCTGTACGTCTAACTAATTTTTCTCCATATTGTTTGAACGCAAGTGTCTGTTGGAGACATCCCGTTGTTGTTACGTAATGGTTCATCTGCTCCAGTCTACTGGTTTCATTCTGATTCTTGCATTAATGTCTCCTGCATTTAAGATGGTTTTTCGATTGTTTTATGAAGTTCCACTGGAACATAAATTAAAAATTTTGAGGCCTTCGCTCAGAAACGCTGCATCGCACTTTTTTCTTTTCAACGTTTGTTATAACGCATTATTCCAGGGTAGCCAACATATGAACGGCATTTACATAACGACGTAACTGCACAGCGAATTTGAAATTAACGATCAAAAGAGTCTGTAGCCCAACAGCAGAAAATAGACGGAAAAATTTATTATAAGTTTTGTTAGAAAATCACCATAATGTATTATTTGAGGGTAAGACTCGATTTTTTAATCATTCTGAGTGAAATTTATTGATATCTTAAAATCATATACTTTCTGTTTACAGCGCCCGTAAATGCCCGGTTTTCGTTTGTCGTCTTCTTCTTCAGTTTGCCTGCCGTGACGACTGCATTGTCTGCTTTTTATTCGACAGATCCGACACCAGTCCTCCTGCTTTATGGTTAATGGCCTAGCTGTAACATTCCACGTGGTAACTCTCGTCGTTAATCACTGTACAGTTTCCATTAGCACCGGTCACAGCGGATGTAGCCGTCCAGCATTTATTGAGATAGGCTACCAGCCTCTCGCAGAACAAGTCCGGTGATGGAGTTGTCACCTTCCAGCTTCTAGACAGGCTGTGATGCAACATTTACAACGCGAAACTCTGTCGTCATAAATTCGTCGTATTGACGGGACTTACCGCTGTTAACTCGAGAGCAGGCAATTTCTTGCTCGGATTATCGATTGTTAGTTGTTCGTGAAAGGCTCTGCTTAGCGAGTTATTTTGTTTGTTAGCTAAACCTTAGCCGAAATTAAATTCTCTCCATAACTTCTAGTTCAAATCTCCAATACAAATTTCGTAAAAGCTCCTTTCACTAGTTTCCGAGATGAAACGTGAGACAGGACACGACGTCCGATCATGCGTTCACTTGTGCTCGTAATAATTTTACGGAGCACTGCAGTTTTTGTTTCGAAAGTGTGAAATTCAGGTTAGGTTAGGTTAGCATCGGCCACTGGGCTTGCGCCTAGGGCTGGAGGAGCGGGGGTTCGATTCCCGGCAGAAGAAACAATTGCGTTTAAATCGGCTGTAGAGTTCAACCACCCGCCTGTACAACAGCCTGGCAGGCGGCAAGCTCTTTTCCCAGAGGTAAAGCGGCCAGAACGTGAAGCCAAACTAACCTCGACCTATAGCCGAGTTTAACATTGCACGCAACTCTATCGCCTTCAGGGCGTGGTTCTTAATTAAGCACAGCGACAAATTTACCTCCTGTCCGTCTGTCTGTCTGCAGAATCACAGAGCAAAGAATTGGGCGTCCCCCTGAGCGCTCAGCGAAAGAATTTAAAACCCCCGGAAAACATGTGAACTCCCCTCTTCTGTTGGCCGTCACTTTTCGGTGTCAATTTCGTCAAAATTGACGGGATTGAGCGAGGGACTTGCAGGGAAGATGGCGCAGATATTGACGCCCCGAACGAAGTTGCTCTCACACTGGGAACTGGAACAGTGAGCACGAGGAGACCGCCATTCGATCCCATGTGGCAGCTTCGTTACTGCAGATGGGCGGTGGGGTGCGGGGGAGGGGACTCGCCAAGCTGCTGAAACAAACGGGCCCTAAACTCGTTGCTCCTTTAGCACCACTGGTTGTACACCTCTCTGGATCACCGCCCAGTCATCTGGCGATATTTAAGGCAACTAGCAAAGTGCATGATGATTCACAGCAGCTGACAGAATGATGACATTTTAATTTTTAAATTCGTTTTAAAACACAACTAGGATCACTTAAGGTCAGACTGTCTATACACAGCTGAATCGAGTCAAGCCTAGACGCTGTTAGTGTCGTGAAAGGTCGAGGTCCAATTTTCATACGTAGGCCTAAAAGTAGCAGCACGTGCTCGCTGCGATGTTGCTCTGTGCGCGCCCCAAATGAGCTCGAGATAAGAAACCGACTTCCGTTCTTACAGG